GAGTAGATTCAAGTGGTTCTGTGGCAAACCTGGAGAACCTCCTAGAATCATGGTGCCTGTCCTCCCTCATTTTGGCACTTCGCAGATTTGCGGATGACTGTTTATTGATGCCTGTATGGCCCTTTTTCTTGGAATTATCCATGGTTTACTCATGCCCATGTATTGCAGAGCACACTTGCTATCACTCTCTCATATGTAGTGGATTTATGTCAGTGGGCATCGTGGCAGACATAGGGACAATAAGGAGCAATACATGTGCATTATTTTTAAGTGATACAGAGTTTTGACATTCATATATATCATAAAAGGAATACTTCTATATAAAATAATAAACATTTGGTAACAATACATTCATTTTTGTATGTAGTATTTGATCCATCAAAAACTTACATCATTGTCCTAATTAAAGCCTTATTATCCTTAATGCATCAGGTGAGACTTGAAAACTTCAATAATTTCAGCAGGCCACATTGATTTGCCAGCCCACACGCACTGCCCTCGAATGTACTGAAATGGTAACTTCAGTAAAACGTCTCAGGATAAATGGCCTTTCCTTGGCCTCCGTCTACAAGGTGTTTACCTATTTCCAGAAGTATCACACCAAGATCTTAGCAGCACTGTCTATTAATGCCATAAAAAGTGCTATGTCAAGAATAAAACTTCCATGGTCGGTTTCTTTCTTAGAATCACTTTGGGCCATGCCTCACCACCTCTCCGTCCTTTGGGATGGAAAGAAGGATCCCCCACCTTGGCTTGTCCTCAGCGGGGCGTCATAGCCCTTCAGAGTCCATCTCACTCCTTTGTGTCGATGACAACGCCACAGTTAAGAATTTGTTAGTGTGGTTTTTACCTGCATTTTAATTTTCCCTCATTTGTTTGCATTTAGGCCAATCCATGCATTTGCCGAGTCATGCTGGCATCTTACTGTCTTTACCAGTCCTGGCAGTCCTGGCCATTCAGTAAAACTTTCCAAGGGTTCACGTCTATGTCCATCCCCAGACCATCCTTGGCCATTTTTAGGAAACTACAAACATCTGAGCTAAAGGTCTGCTGGACTGTTCCGCCAACTTGGGCCTTACTTACATGTCCCCACATATTTCCCTTTCCATTTATTTAGGTGAAGTTTTCTCAGATGAAACAAAGTCAGTCAGCTCTTCTTCCCTGGCAGGAGAAAAGACAGGAGGAAAATGAAGTTTTAGATGTTGACTATGATTGTAAGGTTTATACATTTTGAAAGAGGAGAAAGCCCCTAATTCTCATTGATTTGCTACTGCTTATATTCGTGGTTCTCATTCACTAGACTCTTTCTGTAATCTTTTAATAGTCCAAACTGTTTGACTTACTGAGAAAGTTTCCCTTATCCTGTCTAGCATTTGACATGAAAGCTACAATAAGGACATAATTTAACATAGTTCTAGAAATTGTCAGTAAACTCCCCAGTCAAGGAAGGATTTATTCAAAGAGAAATCCTTAGCAATATTATCTAAAAATATTAGTCATGTGTTCCATCGTGTTTGCTTATAGATGTAACCGAAGTCAACAGAACAAAACTTCGTTTTCAAAGATGTCAAGGCTCATTTTTTTGATGGTAAGAGGGGGACCAGCATCAGTTTTCCTTGTGCCACATTACGTCGGTCCAAATGCTGTTTTCAACTCCAGAATCTTGTGGGCAATTTTCTCAGCTGTTCTAAGTCTGCACTAAAGACCACTGTTTCCTTTTCACTCTAGTAAAGCTGGGACATCAAGATTGAGCTTGCTGTTCACAATTAAAGGCTTCTAGTTCATGAACTTGATTAATGGGGTGCCTTGTCTCAAAGGCCCTTCAAGGCCACAGTGAACTGTTTGGGGGACAGAATATCTGTTGCACGATGCAGTTCTCTCTTTTAAAGTACTGTTGTCAGGAAATTTTCCTTGCAAGAGAAAGATCATTGACAAGTTACCTGGGACACCCTGTGTTTGTTTACCAGTTGCTGGCAAATTGAGTTGATATTTTAGCAGTTTGGCCTTTACTGAGAGTCTATATTGCTATTTTATATTATTGTGTTATGTAATAAAATATATTGAATAAAGTACCATCTCTCTAATATTAATAATTTCTGCTATTTTTATTTTTTGCATAAGATCCTGAACATAATGGGTGATCAATAAATATTTGGCAAACCAGTAAATGATTGGATATTCTGAGACACTCAAGCAAATTATGTTTTGAGACTTAGTTTAATAGCATTTTTGTCATACTATTGTTGGGCAGTACAACGAATAATTAGGTAATGAAATTAGGGTCTTTACTGTTACATAGCTTCGTTTCTTAAAAATTGCCAGACTACAGCCCTGGCTGGTGTGGCTCAGTGGATTGAGTGCTGGCCTGTGAACCAAAGGGTTGCCAGTTCAATCCCAGTCAGCATACATGCCTGGGTTGCAGGCCAGATCCCTAGTAGAAAGCTCGCAAGAGGCAACCACTCATTGATGTTTCTCTCCTTCTCTCTCCTTCCCTTCCCCTTTCTCTAAAAATAAACAAATAAACTCTTTTTTAAAAAAATTGCCAGACTACAGTAACTTTTAATAATATATTTGGAATTTGTACTTTCATAATAATTTAGACCTGAAATTATAGCTATGATCTACTCCAATACCTTGCTTCCCCAAAAGAAAAAAATAAGTCGCAGGTAAATTAGTTGCTAGAGACAATATTAGAGCCCAGGTCTCCTCATTTCAAGGCCAGAATTATTTTGGCTTTTCCTTTTAATGTCAGTCTTTAATCATAATAATGTAATTTGAGAAAAACATTCAATTATTTAGTAGTATCTTCTATAATAAAGTAAGAACTCATTTAGAAGATACCTTGGGATTTCAATTTTTCCACTTCAAATATCTGCCTATTTTTCACACATTTGTAATAAAATGTTTACTAAAAATATAGTTTATAAAGAAAATAATTAGTAGTAACAGCTTGATATTTTATTAAAGTATTGTAATCAGAATTAGATTCTAAGCCTACTAGGCTATTTAATTCCATACTTTATAATAAAGCTTATTTTATGTCTTTCAAAGGCAAAAATGAGTCTGTTTTAGTTAAACAAATTCTAGAACTTGTATTATTATCTGGATCCTATTATTTATTTCCAGGTTATTCCCAAGTAGAAGTCTGCAAGTTTTAACTTGCAAAAGAAATGCAACATTTTCTTCCCTAAAGTCTTTCAGATTTTTATGAAAGACATTATTTGTCCATTATCTGCTAAAATTATATATTCTGAGTCATCATTTGTCTATAGTGACTTCATTGAATTTTTTATAATTCTGAAAAATGATACGTTACTTGATTTGCTCGTATCCTTTGCAGTTGATATAAATTAATCAAAAGTACGTACCAGGGATAGTCTGCAGCTCACTCCTGGCCTCAGAGACATGATGGAGAACCTTCCCCTGGTGAGAGTGAGCTCATCTGTTAGAAGGTTCCTGGGGGGTTTTTTGGTTTCTGAAATAGCATAATCACTTCCAAGATCTACATACATTTTAGGAGTAGATCCTAGAATGATATTTTTCCATATTAATTTAACCCCTTAAAAGTTTTTACTTTAACTGTTTTGAATTTTCTCAGAAATATTTGTCTAAGAACCATAATGTCTTCATTTATGTAAGTGTATCCATTATATAGGGTGGTATTAAGATGCTTTCAAGGCAGAGAGACCACGTCAAACAGTTACTCCTCCTACAATAGTTTTAAGTTATAATAAAGTTTAAACTGAACCAAAACATTCACACCCTGCAGAGGTTAACAAGAAAAAATCAGATTTAAAGGGACACAACATTCCAGTTGCTCTTTAATCTGCTATCTCCAGAAAGCTACAAATTCATTATATACAAAGAGAGTATTATGCAGAAATATTTGCCAACTAAAATTTTGAAAGATCAGTTATCTGTAAAGTAGACTCATGTGGCATGCACATAAAATCCCATTGTTCTTCATAAGCTACTTTCTTCCCTGACACGTAAGTTTTTATTACTGAAGGTGGCATCACAATGAGCCTAATTTCAAGAGATTTACTGTCTACTAGAGGAGTCAAGCTAGATGCTTTAAAAGATATTACTCAAAAACAGGAAATGATATAAATTGGCTATGTTAAATACAGAACACATACTGTTGACTAGAAGTTTCCAAACTCAGGCTGCAGAGCAGACTCACCTAACTTAGAAATTCTGGGCCTTAAACGCTACAACTGAAACACTTCTCCAGCTGACGCTAAGGGATAGTCTTAGGTATGTGGAAGCATAGTTTTAAACCATAAATACACACAAGTAGTTGGGGTAGTTGCAGAACACCTCAGGGAGGCAGTGACTTGAGACTGTGACTTGAAAAGCAGCCAGGCGTTTGGAAAGGAGTGACACTATGCACACAGCTGTAGACGAGGGAAAAGAAATTGCATAAGCATGATTAGTCTATAACCGAGCAGATCGTTCCTAGAGTGGAGGGTGGAAACTAGGGTTGAGGGGATAGATAAGCACCAGCCTGGAGATTCTGGGATACTCTGCTGGACTTTATCTTACAGGCAGTGAACTCAAAAACCAAAGATTTTTGTACAAGGAGATTATACAAGAGTATATATTTTTTTAACTTAACATTATAAAGAGGTGAAAATTTATTTTAAAAATTAGCAAATCAAGTTTTTGTTACAAACTAGATATTAGAACTGTAAAAACTGCTGCCCAAGTGCATGTCTGATATTAGTCACTCGATTCCCTCCAAGCAATGCTCTCCAGCGCTCTTTATCCATCTTTACTCGCCTAGGTCCTATGTTGCCCACAGCTCTGCCCATGGCCAGCCAGAGGGCACAAGCATACTGTACCCACATGTGACCATCAGTGTTTCTAACCCACATTCTGCATCAACTCCTGATGTTGTGGCTCATGTTCAGTTTTAAGACACACAGGGAAAAAGTGACTTACAGCCTAAAAAGAAACAGCAGAAAGGACTTTTAACAAGCCTTCTCTGTCTCTCCTAGTGCTCAATCACCTGTGGCAAAGGAATGCAGTCGCGGGTTATCCAGTGCATGCATAAGATCACAGGAAGACATGGAAACGAATGTTTTTCTTCAGAAAAACCTGCAGCGTACAGGCCATGCCACCTTCAGCCCTGCAATGAGAAGATTAATGTAAACACCATCACATCCCCCAGGCTGGGTAAGCAGACCCCAACAGGGGATGGCTTTGAAAAATATGGAGACACTCGTGGTTTCTTCTGTTTTGTACATCATTTTCAGCTTAGTTATCAGTGTAGACTAATTACTTTGGTCCTGACTAAATTGGCTCTCTTGAACTATGGTTTAATCCAAATGACCAGGTGGGTAAAAAATCCTAAAGACTGAATTCTTTTGATTCTGGAAGCCATCGACTGGGAGCCAGACCCCGGAAGTGTGAATGTCCCCACCCGAGGTCCCCATAGCAAGGGCGGAAGGCTGCCACCATATTTGGGGTCCTGACCAGTCTCATGGCAGAACCATCAGTTAAGGTGACATCTATTAGAAAGGTAGGTTGTGGTGTACGCCTCAGATCTCTCCATCATGAGTAGCCTTCCTTTTGATCCTGGGTACAAATCATCCTTTGGAGAGACTTAGAGTATCAATTGACTCTCAAGATGAACGGGGGCAAAATCTCTACCACCAAACAAGAGGTACCATTTTTTTCACAGTTAAGGACATATTATTAAATACAAAGAACTACTAGCAACCTATTGATTTACATAGATTTTATGACATAAAATACTTTCATGTGTATTCTCAATTCCAGTTATTTAATCTAATCCATTGTAAAGAAGTACAGTATGTATATTTTAAGTCAATGCAGTCTACACTTGCATAACAAATATTCATGAATGAATTAGCCTTATGTCTGTGGCGACTGGTGGCTTTTACCAGCAGCACTGCCTGGCCTCGTGGGGTCAGTCTGTGCCGAACACTTCCAGTTTCCATCTGCAAACATGGCCTCCAAGAGAACAATGTGGTCATTAATTGTCACAGATATTCTTCCAGGCATAAGATTCAATCAAATGAAAAAGTTTGGTTCTTCGTGGAAATACAAAAATTCTCTTTTTTGAGCCAAATAATTAACATTTCTAAGAAGTCGTCAAAGACTAGTCACAACAAAAAATTAAGCAACCCTAGAGCCAATGCAGTTAAACCATGTACTCAAAAACAACACAAGCCCTTTCTCCAGCAATTACTTGGAGGCCTTCTTGAAATGTGTGGCAGAAAAGAATGAATTAAAAGAAGAGTTTAATTAAAATTACATTTCTTTTATGTTTATTATTTCTTAAAGGTGTGCCCTAAAACACAAAAGCACAGTGATTGCAAAAACCTGAGGTTTTTAAGTATAAAATAATGAATCATATTACAAGAGTGGCAAAAGGAAGAATTGTAGCAGGATGGACTGTTATTATACATGCCAGAACACACTAGTTCTTCAGAAAACTAGAGGACAAATCTATATGACCGATTTTTTATATCAAGTTCTCATTTCAAACACTTTAATGCAATAAATTTCAGTCCTGTGATAAACAGCTTTGATTTTAAAGATGCATGAAACCATTATCCCCTGCTGTCCCAGTTAAGACATGTCTGAACAAATGAAATAGAAACAGACTCGTAGATGCAGAGGACAGACAGACAGACAGACAGTTTGTCTGTCGGAGGAGAGGAGGCCGCAGGGCCACATGTCGTCAGTCCCAGAACAGTCACAGAGATGTGCGCTGCAACACAGGGACCACAGTCAGTGCTATCGGGGCGACACTGTGCGGGCCCGCGGGGCACGCGGAGCCATGGGGGACTGCTCTGCATAGCACATGGCTGTCTGACCCCTTGGCTGCACACCTGAAACCAGCGCAGGATGATATTAAATGTAAATTGTCATTGAAATATTAAACAATGAGGAAAGAAAAGTAAAATGTGTGGGCATGCTGTTGTTTCGCTATTTCTTTGTAAATTCATCCATAACAATACTTACTTAATTTTCATTCCCAAAAAGGCATATGTATTTGAGCACATGTATTTGTCTTTTTAACCTTCTTAACTAAAAATCCTGAAGAAACTTAAATGAAAGCCATAAAATTAAACCTTAAAAGCCATTTACAGGACAACTCTTTGAATTTGGGGTAGCTGTTTTTAAATAAGTGAGAACATTACACACTTGCTCTGTGCCTTCATTTTAGGCTGTAAATGTCTGTGCATGCGCACACACGTGTATCTCTGTCTTTTAAGTTCCAGGGGTGATGAAGTATAAAGGAGTCAAAGTAAGCACACAGAATCCCCACTTCCATGAATGCCGTCTGCTCCTGTGCGGGGCAACTGGGGAACCTGCGGGTATTGAGTTCCCTGTGTTCTGCTTCGCAGCTGCTCTGACCTTCAAGTGCCTGGGAGACCAGTGGCCCGTGTACTGCCGAGTGATCCGCGAGAAGAACCTGTGTCAGGACATGCGGTGGTACCAGCGCTGCTGTGAGACGTGCAGGGACTTCTACGCCCAGAAGCTGCAGCAGAAGAGCTGACCTCCAGCGGGCGGGCTGGCTCACAGCTCTTTGTGATCACATTATTTATAAACACACACACTAGCATGTTTTTCAGACCAAACATTATCAGATTACATATAATTTAATCAAATTAATTTATTTTGGGGCCTGCCAAACATCCAGTATGGTGTTTGTTTTGGTAATACAAACATTGGGATTTATACTATAGGGCTTCATTATTAATTTTATATGAGTAAGTTGGATCCAGTTAGCAGCATAAAAAGAAAAAGATAAAAAAAAACCAACTAAGATCATTAGGCTTAAAGACAATTTTTTTTAAGTTAGGGCTGTCTCTGAGGTGCTACTCCCCCCCGCCCCCATACCATTGAGTTACGCAGAGTGTCCACTAATTTAGTGTTCAGCTATCTGTGGAGAAACACCATTGTTGTGTTTCGGCGTCCTGGTGCAAAAGCAGCCCATTTTCTGGACTCTGAAGGGAATGTGTAAACATAACACACCTTGTAGTGTGGAGCAGGTTTTTAGAGAATGTATTATGAATTTGGTTCAGATTTAGAGACATCTATTGGAAAAATTCTACTGTAATTATAACCTTATTTTAATAATGGAAAAGAAGAAGTCAGATTAGAGACTTTGATCATGTTCATGAACATGTACTTGAACACAAGTATTGTAACAATGAAACACTGTAACTAATGATTTACACTGAATCACCATTGCACTGTTGATATAGTGTAGAGAAACCGTTATAGAAATGGTACCAGCCTACAAAAATGTGTATTACTTTAACATGTTGTCATTAGATTTTAGCTTTTTTTAATATTTTGAACCAAGAAAGCATTGATCCACCCATTTCCTTGTATCTTTTTAGCAGATTTTAAAAGAATATATACTTAACCTCACAAATCATGATGAGAAAATTTACTAAATATTTTTCAGCCTTTTCCCTAGAAACAAGGAAAAACAAAAAGCTGATAATACTGTGGTAGTTTCATTGTGTTTTTTCTTTTTAAAAATTAAAAAGTTTTACAATTCTGTGAAACGTTAAAAAACCAGCTTAAATTTTTTCTTGTGAGAAAATATTGTACATGATTCACATGATTTCTTAGATTTTTTCAATAAAATATGTGAAATTTCCTGTTGGGAGGCAACTCTTCATCGGTCTCTCATATTTCCCCCAGTCTTGGCACTGCCTGCTCTTGTTCTGGAATATCTTCTAAGGGATGTTTGTGTAGTGAACAGCCTTGGAAGATAAAGTTAGTGTCTCTCTTTGGAGCAAAGGGCGGACATGCTTATTTCTCATGAGAAAAGTTCCACATTCCCTGAATTGGGGTCCCTCGCCTGTGGCACAGCCACTGCGTGTGTGAGTATCATCTAGCTTCCTTCACAGTGGCTTCCACTGGCGTTACTACCATGAAAGCCCTTACTCCACAGGTCATAGAACCAGAAAGGGGAAGGGGGATTTTTGCCGGTTTCTGGTTTTTTAATTAAATTTATTGGGATGACATTGGTTAATAACACTATATAAATTGCAGGTATACAACTTTATGACATCTGTATACTCTGTTGTATGTTCATCGCCCAAAGTCTTTGGAGTATGTCTATTTCAAACATACCTTCCAGAATCAGGGGAATTACTATGGGGTGGGTCCAGAGGCTCTTGGGCCCACTGAGGCAGATTTAAGCCAAAGCTTGATTATATGACCTGCCCTCCGTAAGCTCCCACTCTGACGGTGGCGCTGCAGGGGAAGCTGGAGCCACCAGCACGTAGTTCAGGGCCATTCGCACCGTAATCACCACAAAGTCAGGTTATTTTTCTTTCCCCAGTGTAGAGTTCCATCGGGGACGACTAGAAGGTAGATGAACAATACAAATTTTGGAGAGTGTAGCAAAGTCCTTCCTCACAGTAATCTAGCCTCCCCTCCATTCAGGGAGCTTTGGGTCTATAAACCTGCCTTTGTTTGGAATGGATCAAGGAATGCAATTCCCTACTGTGGTGAGGCTTCTGTTCACTAAGACTAGAAATGTAATGCTTTATACAAATATAAGACTTCAGTAGAATGCGTCTTTCCTTCAGTCCTAGGACCCCATGAACAATTAGCCAGAACCAGACATCTTTGCAGGTCAAACCTCTCCCTCGACCCCTTTGCCTCTACTGTCCTTTTGGAGAACCATGCACTCCTGGTCTCTGGCAGCAAAATGGAGCAGCGTGGTTCCCGCCCTTGAGGTGGTCCCTATTCTCATAAAATTCACAAAGCTCCAGGGCAGCATTTCCCAATGGCACTTCTGACATTCAGAGAATAGCCACTTGAGAGCTCTGTAAGGATTCCAAGGCTGCCTTCCCCAGTGACTTTTCAAAGGCTTGGCTCAGGGAAAGCCCCCTAGATACACCCAGGGGGCAGGTGGAACAGGTAAGCGAACACATCTACCCTACCAAAGCCAATCTCCTTAAACATTTACATGCCTTCCTCTACAGCACATTATGGCAAGGAAGTGTCAGCAGCTCAGCTTCATCCTGGTGGGCCACCGTGGGTCTGGGTTTCAGATGAGTTGTTAGAATGACTCCCAGCCATGTGAACTAACACTTTCTAAAATCTCCACTTCATGAACCCACATCGAAAACATTTAACTAATTCGACATTGTATTCCTTTCCTTCCATCCTAACTTAACCCTCTTAAAAAACATCTCTGAACTTTGGGTGTCTGTAAACGTGAGTGAGTGAAGCCTTGCAATTCCTCTGACATGCATGGAACCACCTCACGAGCCACACTGTTTGCCTGGCCCCCTTGGATCTTCCAGGACTGGATCCGATGTGGACTTAGAAGACATGACAGATGGTGGAACATGAGCAGTAGAGCAAAAAAGGTTTGATTCCAGAGTTGTTCTGTGAGCTTTTTGGGTCCCAGCTTAGACCTTGGGTGGTGACTTTAAAACCTCAGGCTTATTATTCTCTTTCTGTAAGTTCTCCAGCCTATTTGGAAGCAATGGATCAACCACACAGTCATTAATCTTTTTGTTTCTATGAAAAAGCCCTAATGCAGCAGGTACTTGCTGACCCAGAGCCTTGCTTTCAATAGGCACCTCCCTACAGATGACTACAGGTGAATTTAGATAACCCTGTGGGCACCACGTGCCATGACTGACCAGGTCCCACTTACTCCTGGAAACAGGGTCACTAACACCATTGAGTGTAGTCAGATCAGAGAACGAATTCCAGATTTCACTTCTGGAATTCTCTTCCTGGGAAACACCCATTTTTTGTAGCAGTACTTGTCACGCCTCAGTCAGCAGAGCAGAGTTGGAGTGTTACGGGTCAACAGATTTGAATTCACATCATCAGGAGGAGCTGGGAGATCAGAGGGGTCATCAACCGATCTGAGCAGCCAGGCACCGCCAGGTAAGTCTAACCATGAAAAGGCCATTGCTAACGGTGTCTATTGGAGGCTGTTGCATCTGCATAATGCCCACCATTGTAGGACTGCAGTCAAACATGTGGCAGGGCATCTGAGTCGCTGTTGATCAACAGGAGCATCAGCTGGAAAGAAGAAATGGGCATGGAGCTCAAGAGAGCAAAGGCCACTTGGAAACTGCCAAGCCACCGTGCCTCTGTCTCTCACTGCATTCCATTGCAAGAAGACTTTCAGATGAAGGGATGCTGCTTCTGTTTTTCCCTTTTGATCTCATGCAAGCTCCTCTTTGGGCCAGTCCTAACCCAGAATCATGCAAAGAAGGGGATTCTGGGAAATGTTATTAGCTTTTTAGCTATAGATGGCTAATAGGAGTAATTTTTTAGGTTTGTTTTATATCAGAGACAACTGAAATGAAAAGCTATATTCTTGCTCTATCTATTAAACCTCATAGCAACCTTGTAAAGTACCAACAATATCTTCACATTTATAGCCGAGTGACCTGAGGCTCAGAGAGTGTCAGTGACTTGCCCAAGAACACATTTCAGTTGGATGTAATAAAGCCACTAGGACTCCAGATTCTGTGCACTCAATTACCCTGATTGCCTCCCTTGTTCACTAGTTTCTAAAATGTTTTTAATAGGTGCATAGGATTTATAACTTCATCACAGGCTTTGTTTGTAATCAAAACCATCCAACTAATTTTGAAACTTTCTGAGATAATTTGATGAATTCTAACTGCTCATCTGGACATTGTATAGGATTTTCAGCTGAAAATAGTTTCAGGCATTTCAGTAGGTTATTGGTACAATTTAGTAAGAGAAAAAGAAAGAAAGAAAGAAAGAAAGAAAGAAAGAAAGAAAGAAAGAAAGAAAGAAAGAAAGAAAGAAAGAAAGAAAGAAAGAAAGAAAGAAAGGAAGGGAGGGAGGAAAGAAGGAAGATAAAAGGAAAGATGAGAGAATGAGAAGAAAGAAGAAAATGAGGTTAATTAATATGTAGACAGTTTGCCTAGCGAACCATATTTAATTCTATTTTCACAATTCTCATGGTTCAAAAACCAATAATGCTGGGTCCAAATCTAAGGAGAAATGAGACTTTCAAAAAAATTTTTCTGTAAAGAAAGAAAGCAAATGATTACCTACATAGTAAGGACTAAGAAGTGGCAGATATCCACATTTCCACTAGATTGTCCCTGCAATATAGTTTTTTATTTATATTTATTGATAGTCTTCTTCACTCTAGAATGAAGGTATTAATGTAATAGAAACAAGTCAATATTTGTCCAATTACTTTCAGGTAAAACTTTGAAAAGCTAAAAAGAAAACAATGAAATGGGTGTTACATGATCAAATAGATACAGAAAATGCTAGAGGTAATGAAGCAGAACTTTTTAGAGTCTTCAATGTGTTTGTACATTAAAAAAAATACCAGAAGAGGCTGCAGAGTGTGTCATGAACATTCTGGGCAATGGATTTCTTTTTCACTGAGCAGAGACCATTGGAAAACAGGACAATAAGCCATTTTTTTTTAAAGAAATGTAATTGGATTATCCGTTTCCAAACAGAGCAGAGCCCTTCCTGGGGCTCTGGAGGGGACAATCGTCAGGGTGTGCT